TGGGGGTTGGGGTGTCTCCACCCATCACTCCACTTGTTCATGGTTCTGGGTGTTCATTAATTGTCGGTCGGTGTTTTGCTTGGTGCAGTTACCCTTGTTGTGCTCGCTGGTGTAATTACCTAATTGTACCTACCTAATTGTGCTTGCGGGGGGTTGAGCTCAGGCTCTTTCGCCCCGCCTCTCAACTGTCAATCAACTGGTGTACAGATTCCTGAGCCTACTGGGCTCTGTCATATCTACATTTGGAACTGTGTATGGAGTCACCCTCCACCACATCACTGCCTAATGCATTCAACCTGTTAACTACTCTGACACTGAAAAAGTTCTTTCTAGCATCCCTGTGGCTTATTTGGGTACTTAGCTGCCTAACTCGCAGGTACCACTTTTCTGCTGGTGAGCAGAGGCTTCAGGGGTGAAAGAAACTGTGCTTATTTGTTTCTGCCTCGGCCTGGAATCGTACCCGGGCCCTTAGAGCAACGACCCCCGAGCGCTGTCCATTCAGCCTCGCGCGCGTGTGCGTGTGTGTGCGCGCGCTCCTGTCATCAAGATGTACTCACCTAGACAAGCTTGCAAGTTTGAGCGCCTTTCGGCCATCAGTAGTTTAAATGCAATAACTCTTTTTCACTTTTTTTAATAATAATTAGAAATTAAACTATGTATCAAATTGCATTCGCAAACTTCGTCATCTAGTACGTTGCATTTATTTACAAATCTTAAAGTGAAGACCCTTCAAATGACATCTCTGTAACGCATTTGTTTCTCAAGTTTCCATTAACGTCGCCTCGTTCTATTCTTCCTAACTTTGAAACTTGCTTTTCTAGTAACTTAGTCACTTCCCTTAAGAAAGTTCAACGTTAATGTCATGTCTGCCCAACTTCTTTCATTTAGTGTGATAAAGTTCAGGGGCCAGATTCACGAAGCAGTTACGCAAGCACTTACGAACCTGTACATCTTTTCAGTCTTTGGCGGCTTTGTTTACAATTATTAAACAGTTAATGAACGCCGAAGCACCAGGAGGCTGTTTATAACAATAACAACAGTTGATTTGGGAAGTTTTCATGCTTGTAAACTGTTTAATAAATGTAACCAAAGCCTTGAGAGATTGAGGAAAGATGTACACGTTCGTAAATACTTACGTAACTGCTTCGTGAATCTGACCCCAGTTCCTTCTTCACAACTCAGTCCCTACGGCACCGTTTTGTTGCATATTTTTGCACCTTTTCCCGATTTTTTTGTGTTGCAATAGGTAAGGGTTTTATGCCGGTGCAGCATACTCAAGAGTGGGTCTCACATGTGATGTATTTGTTGGTATGAGGCCTCTAACTCGACCGAAAAAATTCTTAGAGATGTTACTGTTTGGTACAATTATGATAATAATGGTTGATTTGTATTAGTTTTGAAAACAATATAAATTCAATTTAAATAGCACGTGCAATAGTCTCTATTTATTTAATTTGCATCCTTTATATCAAGCAAATTAAATTTATTCTATTGATAATTAATGGAATACTGCGGAGTCTTCAATTGAACTTTGATTATTTCAAAGTAATTTTCTTTTATTTCTCTTGTAAGTCAGTGTTGAACTATTATTTAAATCCTTTAAGTAACATATAATAAATGTTCTAAAAGTTACTAAAACAAATACAATAGTATATAAGGACTTTCACAGACAATTTATATAAGTGATTTAAAACATTGTTGTCAAGTGACTCACTGGACGAGCAGTGCTGCCACTTTATTATTATTATTAACATCTTTTTGACAAAATTAATTAAAATTTTGCCTAATCTGAGGATTTCGATTAAGTCTTATTAAAGTGAGGATAATGCTGGTATTCACTGTCACTGGCACAGGTTGACAAGAGGCGAGCCCTCGAAGGCTGTATGCACCGAGAGTGCCAATTAGTGCAGCAGTGCCAAGGTCAGCTGTCTTGTCTACTGCCAGCTTGAGAGAGAAACTTGAGAGTTTCCTGCCAGAGGCCACTAGTTGGTGGGTTGGTGGGACCAAGGGGACGTTGGTCTCCCATAACCACCACGGTAAACACGAATCACAAGAACGTGATGCATCAATGTCGTAGCTCAGTCGATTAAGGCAGCGTCTGGGATGATCTTGGACGTAGGTTCGAATCCTCGTCACGGCCCTTGTGGATCTGTTTACCACGGTATACACTCAAATAATAAGCTAATTGAAGTAAATTTTAATTTCATTGTCAGAGTGACCCTGAAGAAGACTTAAGTAGGTGATGGATACTGATCTCTGATATGTGAAGCGGAATTCTGCGTCCATTAAACAGTTTCACGAAGCTTTCGATACTTACATGAAATTTTCCTATAAGAAATTTTAAGTGTAACGAACAAATACATTGGAGGAAATAACTGGCTTATGTGTAACAAATAAGTGGACTAGTATAGTAAATAATTGACTTGGTATAGCAAATAATTGACCTAGTAAGGCAAAAAATGGACCTAGTAAGGCCAATAATTGACGAAATATAGCAAATAATTGACCTAGTAAGGCAAAAAATGGACCTAGTAAGGCCAATAATTGACGAAATATAGCAAATAATTGACCTAGCACATCAAATAATTGTCCAGAATATAAGAAATAATTGGCCTAATATAACAAATAATTGACATCGTGCAGCAAATATTCGCTGATAACAAATACCCTAAAATTACAGTGGAAACAATCTTCGGAATCCAAGATAAATCTTCGATGCCAAACTTGGCTGTAATTTGTCACTGATCAAATACTTTAAGACGAGTGATAGTGGGACGACCCCGCCACTCTAAGACAAGGAAGTCTTCACAAGTTGATTTTTCTTCTAATTCTGTAAGTCGACGCGTGGTGGGTGGGTAAGCATGCTAGGTAAGCATGCTGGGGTAAGTATGCAGGGTAAGCTTGTTGGGTAAGCTTGTTGGGTAAGTATGCTGGGATGACCAGGTCATATATCAGGTAGAGGGAAAGTAATTATCTAGAGAAAGCGCTGAGGTATGGCAATTATATAGTCACTCGGCAGGGATACGAGGATAGGGATTTTTGAATAGGGCGGAGGAAAGGATTGATGCTAAATCTCTTGGACGGTTGGGGACTGAACGCCGGCCTGCAAGTAGCTAATAAGCTCACAAGGAAAAAAGGAATCTACAGAAAGCCTATTCGAGGCAACTCCTACTTACATCCCAACAAATACAATGTAACTACAATATCTTTAGTTTTGTTACTCCTTTGTAACAACGAAAATACAGTAAAGAAAATGTTTCCACTGTGTATTTGATGGCCCCCAACCACTGCCAGTTTTGGTGTCCCACTGAAGGGGTCATTTTAGGAATCATTTTAGGCTTATTGAGGTTTTCCTAGGCCTAAGCCAATACGAACCTAACTCCAGGGTACAAATTGACTGCTAGCTGGAGAACAGAGAGAAACGTTACCAAACGTCTGGCGCTGCTGGAGAGTCGAATCCGGGGCCAATCAGTTTTGAGCCGACCTATAATTGAGAGCATCCAATGGTTCTACTAATCTTTTCGCTGATCCACTACCCTGTTTCTTACACAGTATTTATCGGTTTCTTCTGATTCTGCGTTTATCCAATTGGAGGCATCATTCGTAGTCTAATATTTGTAATCGCTTACGTATATAATCTTTGCTAAAATTCTTCATTAATCTGTGTTGTTCAGCCATGTCTCTTCTCAGTCTACGCCGTCCTAAGATATGTAAGTTGTGTTTTGCTTACACCTTTCGCTTCCTGAAAGAGTGTGAACACCTGAGAGACATTAGACATATATGTAGAATAATAAGCCCCAAATTGCTTGAGTTAGGAAAATACTATTTGTCAAATATGGATACTGTTCTTAAAAGATTTCCCCATTTTGCACCCGCAAGATAACGTAAGATTTTAAGGGTTGACAAATGTTAATCTTCTTGCTTGATAAGCTGTTCACTTGAGACAGTTAAGCAAGACCCAACTGTGTCCGGGTGAACAACCCAGCGGGTTTTCTTCCTGTTTGGGGAGTGTTGTACATGCTGCTATGGCGGTATGTCCACTCACAGGATGAATGGTGCTCCCCAATAAATTCGCCCCTCGAGGCAAAATTAAAATTAAATTAATCATTATTAATTTATCCACGCTGGTGGAAATAATTTTTAAAAATAATATATTAAATGATATTGGTAAATTACATTGGTAAATGATAAACAATATGGGTAAATACGTGAGAGGGGCCATTCTGGAATAATTGCAGAACAGCTATTGAGTTAATTTTAATGACTAACGAAGAAATTTCACGTTATTATCAGTCTGTAATGAGTGAGGATGGTCGCTTAAGTGGCAAGTGCCGAGCACGATGTTGCAACTTGTTGTAAAGCTCCCTTAAAGTGAGCTTTACAATACAACTTTGCTCGCTGTGTAATAAAAAAAAGAAAAAGGATTTTGTGCCAATGCATTAAAAGTGCTTTCCAGTTATTCAGAAAAAAATGCATTTGTTTTGTGTTGAAAGACATTACTGGTGCTATACATGTTTCGTCAAGTGCTGGTGGCGAGGATGTAGCATAGAAGTAGCAACAAGGACTAGATATCCAGATGTAGCGACAAGTGCTGGCTGCGGAGATGTAGCGACAAGTGCTAATTAATATCTTAGAAACATAATAGCAGTGAATGAAAACAGCAACGCGTGTAAAGTAACAAAGTGCTGTTGACATGTGGTAAACAGGGCGTTACGTGCCAGGATGTCGAAGGTGCTGTAATGGCGGAAGGCTTAAAGTGCTTAACGTGTAGCGGTAACAGGCTGAAATGTAGCAGTTTGCGCTGCACGCTAATATGGCGTTGTCAGACGGCGTGATTATGCATGTTGCCAGATGCAGCGTATATACTAGAGGTTAGCACTTAGCAATTAGCGAGAGAAGAGTAATGAGTGCTGGGAGGGGAGGCAGAAGGGGGGGAGGGGTGTGAAGGGATGGGGGGAGAGCAAGTAACCGCAGTGTGCCACGTCCGAATGCTATCTTACCGGCGCTGGCCTTGGCTTTGGCTTTGCTTTTGGAGACGCAGTTGGAGGGGACGCGTCCAGGAGGTGGGGGTTCCGGGGGGGTGGGGTAGTAGGCATCCTCATGGGCAGGAAGGTAGGCATCGTAGGCGGCGTAGGAGTCAGGATGGAGAGCCTCTGTGGGCGGCGGTGGGGGGTTGTGGGGGTGGAGGAGGGACTGATGGTGGGTGTGGAGAGGGTCGGACAGGGCGTAATCGTTGCTACCTTCGCGTTTGGAGCCGCCCATGACGGATAGGAGGGCGGGCGGGGACTTGAGTTCTGCCATGGACATCTCCAGGCCCGGCTGGTGGGCGTGGTGGAGGCCCGTGGGCGTGGCCACGTTGCTGTAGTCGTGGGCGGCGGCCGTCAGTCCCACAGTGTCGGGTGTAGCGTCCTTGGGTGGCGTGGGCGGGAAGGTGAAGAGGTGGGTGTGATGCAGGGGCGCCGCCGGGGGTGGGCGGGAAGTTATGGGTGGCACCCACGACGTGGAGGGCGTGTGAGCCACGCCCATACCGCGGGAGTGCTCTGGGAACCAGGCGGCGTGTAGGGGCGTAGGGTAATGCGGGCGGACGGGGCTCCCTCCCACGCGACCTGCAATGCAAAATAAGCCAAACATCATTAACGTTCTATACGTCATAAACTGCGTCAACATCAGTAATGTCACACGTGAAACTTACGTCAACATCAGTAACGTCACACGTGAAACTTACGTCAACATCAGTAACGTCACACGTGAAACTTACGTCAACATCAGTAACGTCACACGTGAAACTTACGTCAACATCAGTAATGTCACACGTGAAACTTACGTCAACATCAGTAATGTCACACGTGAAACTTACGTCAACATCAGTAATGTCACACGTGAAACTTACGTCAACATCAGTAATGTCACACGTGAAACTTACGTCAACATCAGTAATGTCACACGTGAAACTTACGTCAACATCAGTAATGTCACACGTGAAACTTACGTCAACATCAGTAATGTCACACGTGAAACTTACGTCAACATCAGTAATGTCACACGTGAAACTTACGTCAACATCAGTAATGTCACACGTGAAACTTACGTCAACATCAGTAATGTCACACGTGAAACTTACCTCAACATCAGTAACGTCACAGGTGAAACTTACGTCAACATCAGTAATGTCACACGTGAAACTTACGTCAACATCAGTAATGTCACACGTGAAACTTACCTCAACATCAGTAACGTCACACGTGAAACTTACGTCAACATCAGTAACGTCACACGTGAAACTTACGTCAACATCAGTAATGTCACACGTGAAACTTACGTCAACATCAGTAATGTCACACGTGAAACTTACGTCAACATCAGTAATGTCACACGTGAAACTTACGTCAACATCAGTAACGTCACACGTGAAACTTACGTCAACATCAGTAACGTCACACGTGAAACTTACCTCAACATCAGTAATGTCACACTCACGTGAAACAGCGTCAACATCAATAACGTCACACGTGAAACTTACGTCAACATCAGTAACGTCACACGTGAAACTTACGTCAACATCAGTAATGTCACACTCACGTGAAACAGCGTCAACATCAATAACGTCAATCAAACGTCAAACTCAGCGTCAACAAATCATAATAACTTTCCTATTCATAGTTTATTTTAGTGTTAAACTAATCCCATATTTGTACCGACACGAAATAAACACAAAATTAGTTTTAGGAAATCGGAAAATCAATGTGTAATGTGTTTGTAATTTAGAAATTGATGATACGTTATAAATTAAAAGTGATTTTAGAAGTTTTCATGCATCACAGTTATGGATTATTTTTTTCTATATTTCAAATGCAGTAAATATTTTCTTAGGAAACATAATTATTTGACATCAATTTTGGTGCCAAAATGATCATTAAAATATTTGTTTACTTGACCCCTTAGTGAAGACAAACACCTTCATTGCAAGTGTCAGAACTTGAGAAGGTTGGATTCCTTCCAAGTTGCATCATGAGACAATTAACAAGATTTAAGGAGCGAGTGTATCAAGCATGTTGGAACGTGCATATATCTTCTCAAACTATTTATACAGGCAGAGAATAAGTCACAATAGCGTGGCTGGAACAGATAACTGAACTCTCATTTATGAAATAGAATGAAAGTAAAGACGTTTCTGTCCGGCCTAGAGTTTCAGGGTCCAGGATGAGCAGGAAAGTCACTCTCGTTGGATTTCATGTGTGTTTATTGGATTATATATATATATATATATATATATATATATATATATATATATATATATATATATATATATATATATGTCGTACCTAGTAGCCAGAACTCACTTCTCAGCCTACTATTCAAGGCCCGATTTGCCTAATAAGCCTAGTTTTCCTGAATTAATATATTTACTATAATTTTTTTCTTATGAAATGATAAAGCAACCCTTTTCTCTATGTATGAGGTCAATTTTTTTTTATTGGAGTTAAAATTAACGTAGATATATGACCGAACCTAACCAACCCTACCTAACCTAACCTAACCTATATTTATAGGTAAGGTTAGGTTAGGTAGCCCAAAAAAGCTAGGTTAGGTTAGGTTAGGTAGGTTAGGTAGACGAAAAAACATTAATTCATGAAAACTTGGCTTATTAGGCAAATCGGGCCTTGAATAGTAGGCTGAGAATTGCGTTCTGGCTATTAGGTACGACATATATATATATATATATATATATATATATATATATATATATATATATATAACTAGAATGTATATATATACAGCAAGAATGTAAATCTATATCTCTAAAATGGACTTTTATTTTAGATTCTAAAATCTAAAGCTGATTCTATCTCTGTGGGTCTGTCCTTGGTTGGAAATGATAACTGTGGAATAGGTATCTAACATGGGCAGTTCTGAAAGAGAGAGAGAAAGAGAGAGAGAAAGAAAGAGAGAGAGAGAGAGAGAGACTCGGGCACCGCTGCGTACCACTTCTAGTACTACATAAGCCACTATAACATATTCACTTTGTTTAAAGCAGTTTAAACAAAAAAATTAATAAATGTTGCACAGTTCTCAGCCCCTCGAGTATTTATTCCCTTCAAGGCCAGAAGATGATCATTTGGGGGTCTGGAGTCTACATTTAAGGGGCTGTAGTTCACTCTTTTGGACCTGCAATTTAGGCTTTTTAGAGCTAAAATATGCTCTACTGGACCTTAAGTTTACATTTGTGTATCTGTAATTTATACTTAAGGACCGGTTCAGAAGTTTACACTCCTGAACATGTTGTTTACAACTTCTGACCTGTAAATTACACTTGTGAAGTTGCAGTTTACAACCTGCGGTTTACACTTGGTCTAGTCAGCATGTTATTAGAACTAAGAAAATATGTAGTAAGTTTACTGCCGTTTTACTTACTCAAAGTCGCGACATCACTGCCTTCCTGTGATGTCACAGAAGTGTTCCGTCTTACGGCCATGAATGAACATCAGCAGCAGCAATAAAAACAAAAAAAATCAAAACAAAAACAACACCACCACCACCACCAACAGCGTAAACAAAAGAGCGATTAATTGCGTTCTCACGCCTCACCAAGAATGCCGCTCCCGGCAATATTTAGAGGGCAGCACTTTAGGACCAAGATTCATGGCGGCAGTACAGGGTGACAGACGCCCCGTGGACACAACATAAACATTCCGACAAAGGCGGAAATACCGAGATCTTTACGAGGTTTGGGAGGAGAGGGAGAGTGAGGGTTATAGGGAGAGGGGGTATCGAACTTTGCTTCTTGTGCCTACTTGGAAATACCTATTCAGGGGGGCGCCCTAGCTTGGATATCATACACGGGGGGAGGGGCGGATCAGGTCTGCTACAGACCGGTTTGGTTATGAGGCAGAAGAGTCAGGAATTCCCTGTTGGTCTTGGGGGTGTGTCCATTAACCCCTGCTTGTGTTTGGGGATGAATTGGAAGGGGAGACGGGGATTAGAATCTTATTTGAGTGACGGTAAGGAAATCTAGGTGTTCCTTATTCCTGCTTGAGTACGGGGAAAAGCCAGATATGCTTTTGTCTTGCCAGTTATAGTGGAAGGTGAGCAGGTCATGCCATAGTCATGGGCGGTAGGAAACCTACCGATTATTACTTGGTCGTGCTGAAGAGCTGAAACTCAAAGCCCAGTAAACCCATCAAATTAAGAATTGTTGGAAAACTCAGGAGCTGAAGCTCAACCTTGCAAATCAGAAAACTGTACATCCCACTAAGCTTTATAAGAGAGGTGATGCAGGTCTCCATGCGGTTCCTAACCATTTTTTTCTTCCCACTATCTATTTGTACATTCGTGCTACAGTAAGGACCTAAAGCTGTTATTTGCGAGAATAAAATTGACTCGCGAGAAAGTGTTCAATAAAGTGACCATCTCTAGCTCCTCTTTTTTTCAGTTGTCATTAAAGAAGTCATTGGAAATTTGTCCAGCGAGGTTAACATCTGGGGCCAGATTCACGAAGAAGTTACGAAAACACTTATGACCCTGTACATCTTTTCTCAATCTTTGGCGGCTTTGTTTACAATTATTAAAGAGTTAATGGGCTCCGAAGCACCAGGATGGTGTTTATAACAATAACAGCAGTTGATTGGCAAGTTTTCATGCTTGTAAACTGTTTAATAAATGTAATCAAACCCGCCAAAGAATGAGGAAACATGTACACGTTCGTAAGTACTTGCGTAACTGCTTCGTGAATCTGGCCCCTGCACACCATCTGAGGAGCTGGAGGAACTCGACAGCCTATAAAAATTAGCTCGTACCTTGTATGAAAGTCTGTAACTCATTTTGTGCAAAAGAGTAAATAAAATAAAACTATTACATATATATAAGAAGGTGGTCGGAGAAGACAATATGTTAAGAGTACACATGGGAGCCCAACAAGGCTGCTTCTGGCGCTATAGTAAATCATTTTCGAGGCTGACAGCCCTTACAAAAACAACCAAAGGTGGTACCTCCTATACGCCCAAATATATATTATATATATATATATATATATATATATATATATATATATATATATATATATATATATATATATATATATATATATATATATATATATATATATATATATATATATAAAATCTCACTATATATGACAATAAACATCTGTATTTTTCCAAAAAAATTACAGATTGACTAGCAAAATTAGTCACTAGAAACTCATCGATCAAAGGCAAAATGAATATATTAACACTCGTGAATTATCCCAGAACAAAGAGACCAATGGGGTGAGAAACAGAGGGGAAAGATAAATAAACATGAATAACTAGGATGAATAATTCATAGGACATGAAGGGGGAGTAGGGAAGGGGGAGTAGGGAAGGAGGAGGACGAGGAGGAGAGAAGTAAGGGTGGAAAAATGGGAAAGTGGAAGAGAGATATGGAAAGGCGTGTTGGTATGAAAAACGTGTTGACTTATATTGCAAATACCTGTGTATTCTATCATGTGCCTCACCCCTCCCCCACACACCTCAGATTCTCCTTTATCCCTGTCTCACCTGCTCCCCTAAGACTCTCTTCCCTCCCCTGCTTACCTACTCCCACCAATCTCTCCCCTGTTTACTCTCACTTACTAG